AAAAAAAATAAACCCAGGAGAGCCCACAGACGGCAGTGCTTATCCTTGGCGAGCATCGTTCATCTCGACGAAGTTAGCCATTAGCTGAAAACGCATCCCACTTTGGGAATCGATTTCTGATCAGTTCCACCAGTTTGATCTCTCTTGACGACCAATCAACTACTCACCATTCCATCTAATCATCGCTATTCCCGCCACAGCCATATTGGCGCTGGCAGGACCTTTCAAATCCACTTTTGGTCATATCTTCTGCCACATTTTGCACGAAAGCACCCACCTGATAACCTTTTCGGAAAGTTCTATTGCGTTAGAAAGCAAAATGGGACATATGTTGTCCTTCCCATCTGGAAGGACTCCAGAAAGCACTCCCGAAAGTTGTTGCTTGTCCTCTTATTCGACTCCACTGCAAAAGCCTCCAGAACCCCCCGATTCTTATATCTCGGATTCATCTTGGCTTACTAGCACTACAAATACCTCGTATAATAGATTTAATAGCCGTTCTAGCCCTTCTAGCCCTTCTCCTTCATCTGGATCAATAGCTATGACAGACCCAGCCTTTACCGAAATGATCGACTCAGAAAAATTCGTCACCCAAACCGAAACGAACATTCAAGATCTTACCAAAGAACCAGACGATGATCCAGAATCTCAGTCTGTTACAATCACCAAAGCCCAAAGACGACAACTTCAGCTCCCATACGACAAATCCAAGTACCACACTTGGATTGACCACGGTAGCGATGTCGATGAGCAGCATTATCCGCTTTATCCCAACGGCGAGACCGTTTTTGTGTTGAGACCGGAGGACCAAGTTGTCAACTTTTGCACCATCGGGTGGACTCACACCATGCAAACCAAACGCAACGAGAATTGGACCATTCAAAGGTACTATTGCCTTGGAGTCATGATATGCTCTCAGCCTGGCTGTGGCTTCTCTGGATCTCCACCCACTGGTCGTAACATGATAGCCAAATTGCTAGCAGAGTAATTATTCAAACTTACTATTTGAACCATTTGCTCAGCGCCTGACGTTGTTGTCCTTTTCGTGATTCAGGTCTACTACTTGCCGTGCGTCCGGATGTCCAGGAATTCAGATCCACGCGGCTTGCTATGCACGGTGTCGAATCGACGAAGACACCGTGGACAAATGGGCGCTGCTACGACATCAAGGACAGCACAATCATCCATGGCCGGAAGCGAAAAAGGCCGACCCCCTTTCAAAGGATAAGCTCGAAGAGGCCGTGTTGAATGACCCCAAAAGAGGACCCTTAGGTTTAAAGGTATGTCCTTTCTTTCGTTATATTTCTTTTCCTTTGGGTTACAGAAAAATTGACTCTCTCTCTCTATTTGCTCTATGATAGGTCGGGCGTGCCCACTTGGGGACACAACCTATCTCTTCTATTGTGGACGTGCATGAGTCTTTCGGTAATGCAGATTGCCTAGGTTATTTGAGACGGTTAATCCTAGTAAAACATGGTCTAATGACGGATAAGGATGACAAGGAAGCAGGTGACAAGTGGTATACACAAATCAAGCACTGGTCCAAGTAAGTTTATGTTTCTATATCTCTCGCTGCTGTTATTCCACGTCCAGGCGCGTAGCTGAGAGTTAACATTCTTTGATCTCCCAGGAAACGAATGAAGGTCATCTCCGTTTCAATGGACCACGAGGACCATTTTACCTTCCAAACTAAGTGGATGGCTGAAGTTCTGGTACTTCAAGACGAGGATGGCAAGGCATATTCAGGAGGACTCCTTTGCGACGTCACGTATAAGTTTTTTGAAAACGGATACTTATTGACAACTTCGATGTACAACGAGAAACTTCAACGCTGGGTACCCATTCTGCTCTCTTGGCTCGGAGGGCTATCTAATTCCCATTACAAGTCGCATTTTGCAACTTTATTTCGTCAAATTCAAAAAACTACGTTGTCAGACAGGGAAAAGAGAAGGCTGGTTGAACAGGTAGTCGACTTTTCTCAAGCACAGAAATCAGGATTCATTGAAGCATATATGGAGGTCTTTAACGTGCATGATCGAAACATAGCTCTATCCAAGTTACATGGATGTGTCCAACATTTTTGTCAGTCCGTCACTCGAATGGCTAAAAACAACAAAGTCGTGAAGGTCAATATGATGGTAAGTAATCCATACTTGATTATCACGTTGATGGTTTATAAGCTCATCCATTACTTTTGTTTCAGGGCACTTGGGAAAAATATTGCAGAGAGCTGCGTCTACCGGATGAACCAGGACACCCCGACCTTGAAACCAGGTTCAAAGAACTGCGACGAGTATTCCCTTTGGCCAAAAGGTGGATAGATTGGTGGTATGCCGCCGACATCCAAGCGATGCTCTTCCCAGCTCGGAAGAGAATCCCGGAAGATGATCCTCCTTTACTTGGAAGTGACGACGACGACGACGACGACGGAGGCAGAGACCGTCCACGCAGACGCCCAGAGTTACCATCAACCACAAACGCGCAAGAATCTTTGCACCGCGTCTATTACATGCTTTGGTGAGTGATGTTCTTTTGCTTCAAGTTCATCTTTTTCTCTCTGACATTGGATTACCTCAGCGAGGGAAAGTGCGGTATCATTGGAGGCATGATCCAACTCTTTGCTTTTGTCTCGAGTTTAGAGCGCGACTATCAAGCACGCCTGAAGGGTGTCAGTGTCACTTATGGTTCTAGCAAGAAGAATTGGGAGGATGTGGTGACGTCATTAGGAATGGCAAAACCAACCAAACGTCGATATGTTGCCAACGATGGCCGGCCACCTGACACTACGAAAGAACTCCTGGAGGATTCTGAAGGTCAAATCAAAAAGCCAAAAAGTCAAAAAGGTCCCGGGCGACCACAAGGTTCCCAAAACATCAACCGCAGCCCCCTCACCACCTACCAGTCTTATACCTACGGAAGGACACCTGGCACTTACAACCGTTGCTGGCTTTCGGCGACCCTGGAATCTCTGTTTGCTCTATTTGGCCCACTTTGGAGTCAACACTTGCACGTAAATGGATCTAACTTGATAACCGCAATCATGCGCCACTTTACCAGCCGATGTGATGTTGAATTACAACAAGGCAAGAACATTCTGGCAGTCTGCACCCGAGGTGAAAACATCATACACAAGGCAATTCAGAATATCAATGAGGCCTCCTACAAGTCTGATGCTATGTGTTTGGCCGATGGTTTCATGGACATCTTACTCGCCATACCTTCCTTTTGCCTCTCTTTGCGGTCAACGTCGCCAAAACCTTGGTCTGCACTCAAAATGACGAACATTCTTTGACCACGACTAGACCTACTGGTGTGATACGATTATTTCCTTCAATGTTCAGGGACGCAGTGCTTTCTTACGGGGACCTGGGAATCCTTTTGCATGAAATGCTCAACGACGGTATCTTATCTCAACCAGGACTTATATGCCAAAAATGCCATCCGGATGCTCCAAAGTCCGCACCTGGACCATCATTTGACGGAGAAGACCTCAGTATGCTTGATCAGCGCTTACGAATTGATTGCAGCTCACCTCCTTTGCACCTTTATTTCCTTCTGGACAACGTTACTTCTTTGCACGGAACAGACCGCGACAGCTACATGGGCAATGCCGACTGGCCGGCTCGCTTACAGTTGGGTAACGGCCAATATCAGATGGTTACACGAGGCTTTTGGGGCAGTCATCACTATTGGTGCCAGGTTGTACAATCAGTTGAAGGGATCCTGGGCGTTTGGCACTATGACGAGCGCAAGAACGCAGGGTTTGCTCAGCTTATCTCTCGCAACGTCAACAGTATCGCTGGGTGCTCAGATCACACCTCCTGGGTCTGTTACTCAAGGGTGCCATTTGAAGAAGAGAGAAAAAAGATTGAAGCGGCAATTATTTCAATGATGAAAAACTTTCCTACCCGCCACCACAGCATAACTTTCAGCATGCCAACTGCTTCCGCCCCTTTTGGAGGAGGACTTCCTTCACTCGAAGAAACCGTAGATGATAGCACGGCCCCCACAACTGTCGACATCGATGCTGAAGATCACCTGCTCAATCTTCAGATTTGGATGAACTCGACATACATGATCAAGAAGATCCGCCTGACTCTCCTTCAGTTTTGGATGAACTCGACCGACATGTGTGACAACTACCGCCTGCCTCTCCTTCTGTGGAATGTCTCGACCGTTTGGATAATCTAGAACTCAAACCGGAGCTGGACATTGTGGTTCCGGCTCAATCTTCTGCTTTTGAACCGGTTGTGAAGCCCGGTCCTTTGAAGATCAAGCTGTTGGTGCAGAAGCAAGGACTGGATCCTTTACTTCCAGTTGGTGAGTACAACTGCCTTTGTACTTAGTGTGTGGCGTTTACCTTTACTGACGGGCCTTTTCTTCTCCCCAGAACCAAAGACAAAGAAGTCGGTAACTGTGAAAGCAGAAAGCGGCCCCACTGCCGCTCAGAAGCGCAAGGCTGCTGCCGCTGAGAAGCGTAAGTCGGCAGCAGCAGAGAAGCGCAAAGCTACAGCCGACAAACGTAAAGCGGCAGATGAGGAGTGCATGGCTGCCGCCGAATTGCACAAGGCTGCAGCTGCAGAGAAGCGGAAAGCTGCAGCGGAAAGGCGTGATTTGGCAAAAAAGAAGGATGAGGCTTGAATTGTTGTAGCCTCAAATAAATAGTAGCTTCATGAGCGTTGGTTGGGATTTGATACATGCTTTATCTCTCGCTGTTTGAAGTGGAAATGAAATGATTTTATACATGCTTTATCTCTCGCTGTTTGAAGTGGAAATGAAATGTTTGTTTTCTTTGAATGTGGTGTTGAATGCCCGGTGTAAAATTCTACTTACACCGGGTGAGCCTTCATTTTTACACGAAATAGCTTTACACACCTTGATTCGGTGTAAAGTTCCCAGGTGCAAAAATGCATTTCGACAAGGGTAGGTGATTTTTGCACCGTATTTTTTTACGCGTGACTTACATGTGGAAATGATCCGGTGTAAAAATAAATATCTTGACGCGGTGCAAGATTTTTACACACATTTTTTTATACTTGGTTATTTAACACCGGATAAAAAAAACAAACCAAGTGTAAAATTCAAAGAACCCCTCCCCTTTCTTTGAATTTTGCACTGAACCGGTTTTACACCTGAAGATACGGTGTAAATCACCCGGTGTAAAATTCCCCATCCCCATATTGTATGAGTTGTAGTAAACAGTTTGCAGAAAGAAATAAGGGAGGCGCAATTCGACAAAGAACTAAATAATCTTGAATTTAAGACAAACTGGTGAAATCTGAGGTTTATCTTGATGGACCATATTGGTTTTACATTTTGAGAACTCTGTTTTTGTGTTTCTAGCCTGCCTGAATGTTGATAAGTCACACATGATTGAATACCAGGAGTTTGTCCCACTTTCATGGTCTTTGATGCTTAAGAAATCTGGAGAGATCGAGTTAATACACAATTTTGAAGCAGTGATCAACAACAGTACAATTATCATATATATAATGAAAAGGAGAAGGTTAAGGAGCAAAGTTTAATCTAACATGTGTTCATTAACTCAGGTTTGACAGTACTTACACAAAAAAGGCAACTTGAGTATCGGAAAAGTCATCTCATGTGAAATTCCTAATGGACATAATGAATCTTGGATCGGAAAATACAAAACTCTGTCATAAGACCTCGAATTTGCTCACAAAATTCAAATCAACTAGCTGCGAGCGCGCGTAAGACCGAGTTCACATCGTATTTTTTGCAAAATGTTCCCACCGAAACTAATCGATCGTTCCATTCTTGATATTGAACTTGAGACAGCCTTGAAAGGTGGTAAATGCACGCATTCAGTTCCTTGAGATGAGGCCAGGTAGCTTTCCATAGGATTGCCTCCAGGGACCTGCAATGTTCTAATGTCGTACAGTGCCATTCAAGATTGAGTAAAGTTTTACATTCTCGAAAGCTGAGCAGAGAACGAGGCTCGCGAGTAGAAAGCTCCAGGGTGGTTAGAAATGGAAACCCTAGATGACTTGGAGGATCCCAGGTAGAGTTGATTTCAAAGCTGTCATCATCTTGCTCGTTGGTGTTAAGCTTGAGTGTGGTCAGGTAAGGTGAAATGTGGTGGATGATCCTGAGTGCCGAACTGAATGATAATTGACGACATCTACGAAGTTCAAGATATGTGATTGTCTTTGGCCAATCATGGAGGCACCATTTTTCATCTATATCTTCATTGGAGAACAATTCCAGTCGTGATAGATATTGAAGTTTGGATAGATTGAATCCCAAGGACGCATCACCAACTTTTGGGGAATCTCCAGATGATGTAGGTACCCAGATTGCAAGCGACTTGAGCAATGGTAGACTACCAACAACTTTCGCCGGAAAGTCTGTCATCATTGTTGTGTTGTGTCTACCATCTAATTCCAGTTTCTGGAGTTGTTTAAGGCTTGATAAGAGTGGAACTAGATCTGATAGGAAAGCATTTGTTCTACCCACGTCTTCATTGTCTTCGTCATATTCATAACGAAGATCCAGCGTAGAAATGTTTGGGCACCGAATGATCAAATCTCTTACATTCTGTGGTGAGATTGGCTGAGGGACATGTTCGTCCTCAAGTATTAGATTATCGTAAAAGGGGTCATAACTGAATTCGCCAGGAGGTTTCTTGCAGTTGTCGGAGAGTGTGAGTGCTAGAGAACGAACATGAGAACCTCGTTTGAGGAGGATATCTTCTGTCCATAGATCTATTGGCGCTGGTAGGCTAGAAGGGAGCTCTAGTTTCTGAAGAGCATGAAGAGCGTTTGAACACGATTAGAAATTTTTGCTTCCTTAAACCGTCAATCTGCAGATGACTCACTCGCCATAGCCATGGTTCACAACGTCTGTATATCTCACGCGAAGTCAGCGAAAAGGTTTGAAAAGTATTCAAGATTGGTGAATTTCGGTGCAAGTAGGTCGTATATCGCTCTCGATGACCTAGATAGTCACTGATAATCACCTGGCCTGATTGCTTTTGGGATGTTATTTGCGATTCTTCGAACTTAGCCAGGAAATCAAGCGCTCCAAGTATGCTGTTAAAGACTTCGATCGGTAGATCCATGAGACCTACAGCATGCGATTTGTTTCGCAGTCCCTTGTCTCCGATATCTTCTTCAACTCTATCAAATGGAATTTTACCCTTTTCATGAACGTGGGATTCGGGTATTTGGCTGACAGATGCGCAAGAGTCAATAGGGCTTTCTGATAGACCGAGTTGAAGAAAGATCCCAAGGATTGATTGTTTGGACCAAATGAAACCTTCCGAGTCAAGTTCATCGAAACGCTTCCGAATAAAATCGAGATGCTGGTTCACTGGCTTGGTCTCCTCGTGAAATTTAGAGACGATCTCGTGCCAGAGCGCAAGCTGAGCTGTGAAGCAAGAGGATGTCATCTTGGTAGACGTGCAATTGCTGGCCGTATCTTCAAGGAAATCAAAGTAGAGCAGAGAACTGAGAAGCTATATGTAATTGAGCTATAGATCAATGCCAGACAACTTGACGGTTCAATCAAGACGAGCGTATCCCCTCAAACCTCGTGTTGAGCAGGCGAAGTCAAGACTCTTGTAGTGTATCCAAAACAACAGACAATGGGCCAAGAGTCAGGTTGTGGGCGCGCCGCGGCGCGCCAGGGCGTTAAAGAAATCCCCAAAATTGGGCTCGGCGCGCCCTACCAAACATTGCACCGGATCTTTGGTGTTCTACGTCCTGTCACCAATATTGGAGACCTGGGTCCTTGCTGTGAGCTTTGAAGACAGCTCTTTTTGGCTTTTCTCTCCTCCAAAAGGTAAGTTTGTGGTGGTAGATGGCTCTAGCAATACAAACGTAGACTAAATGACGGGCGCGCCGGGCGCGCCTACAAAATTAACAGCGCGCCCACAACCTGAGCCAAGAGACTGGAAATGATGAGGATGACATAAAGTTTGAAAGCGAGCAGAGGAGGCACAGATCCAAATTGGAATTTACACTGACACTGGCCAGTGGCGGTCACGGTCACGGTCACGGTCCATCGGATACATCCGCCCGAAATCTTGCTTCAACAGTCAAGGATTGCCACCAATTATGGTTCTCAAACCTGTGCAAAAATTTGTGCAAGTTTTCTACAAGAATTCTTTTGAAATCTTGCACAGAAGTTGTACAAAACTTGCAGACTTTTATGTACAGTAGCCTCCAAGTGGTTTACGCAATCACTCAAGTTCTGCAGCGGCACCGGGGCTTTTTCTATGCGCAGAAATCTTGTCACATCACTGCAGACTATTGAATCATCCGCTCCTCAATCTTTCCAAGCATGAAGACTTGTACCTTGACAGATTCCGAGAGAGGAAGAATTATTGGAATGCACAAGGCTGGGGCTGCAGCAACAAAGATAGCAACACACCTTGGCCATCCCAGAACAACTGTTTATACAATCATCTCTACATTCAAAAAGCATAACAAATTATCAGCATCAAACGCTCCTGGACGGAAGCCAAAATTTTCAAAAGAAGATGTTGAAGAACTCGGACATATACTTGAACAAGATAGACAGGCTCCTCTCTGCCAAATCACCAATCAATTGTCAATCAAAGCTAGCAAACCCATAGTCCGGAGCAAGACACATAAACTTGGCTTTCATTCTTGTATTGCACGCCACAAGCCATTTTTGAATGAGAAACAGATCAACAATCAACATGAGTTCGCTAAGATTCATCAAGACTGGACTGTTGAGGATTGGAAGAAAGTAATTTGGACGGATGAATCTTCTTTTGAAATAGGCAAAAATTTCCAACAGGTCTGAGTTTGGCAACAAGTTGGGGAAGCATACAATAGTCAATGTCTAGCTCCAACTTTCAAAAGTGGAAGGACATCAGTCATGATCTGGGGTGCCTTTGTAGGATCTTGGAAGCTTAATATGGTAGTCATGGAGCCAAAGAAACGCACTGGTTCCAACTTTGTGGAACAGGTTTACAATCAAAGCTTACAAAACTTCCTTGACTCTTACCCCAATTCTGGAAATCTTGTATTGATGGAAGATGGTGCCCCGGTCCATCAATGCTTAGTTTCAAAGGCCTGGAGGATTGAACATTCAATTCATAAGCTTGAATGGCCAGCAAATAGCCCGGATCTCAATCCAATTGAAAATATATGGGCTCTGATGAAAGACACCATCTCAACCAAGTATACAATAAAAAATATTAATCAAATGAAGGAGGCATTGCAATCTGAATGGGACAAAATTCCGGAAAGCAAGATCAACAAGCTTGTGGCTTCAATGCCAGATCACATTCAAGCTGTGCTTCAAGCGCATGGTGGTCACACCCGGTGGTGAATGATCCTGATTGTATGTTATTCATCCCCTCGTTCTAAATCAATCCACTATATACACACCTTGTCTTTTTTTAACTCGCTCTCCTCCTTTTATTCATACATATTAAGCATCTAGGGCTCAGGATCCACAAATCTCACCCATCACCACCATCACCACTCTCACTTATTCAACAATAATTATTTTACTAGTCACTACACTACACTTGTTCATCAACAAGACATGTGTTTTTCATTTACATGCTCATCTCAATCCCTCCTCTTCAGACACCTGTTTACTTGAAAAATTGTATTAATCTTATATGCATATATATAGATATT